TCCCCAAAAGCGAAAAAGTTGTTTAAGTTTTCTTTATAGAAAAAAGGATTTCGAAATGCTTATGTTTCACTTCTTGCTTGCTTAGAAACTCAAGTATCCCACTTTTTATTAGAAATGAAACAATTTAACCCATGAACCCATTCAAAGATAAACCAAATAAGTCAGTGAATCGCCAAAAATATTCCTCCAAAATGCTAATTCCACACTCAAATGGCAGTCCTAAAAAGAGACAGAAATTTCAGATGATTAAATTAAGGCTTTCTGCTGATTTTAGCCAAAATTTAAGGACTCTTAAGGACCGTACGAACCCTGAAATAATGTGTCATGTTTTTGTGGCTGCAACATGTTTGCTAACATAAAATAAAGATTTAATCTGTCCCAGCTGCCAGTTTCCTATTCATTGTGGATCAGCACTTCAGCATTCTACGCCATCTCTTCATTACAGATTCAATCTTCTACGTTCTACATCATCAAGACAAGTCTTCTTTTTTTCCATTAAATATATATACATATACTTATATATGTTTGGTTTTGCTGATTGTAACCAAAAAGGGAGGTGCACAACTACATGTTATATGACGGTTGCTATTTATATTTCTGGCCTTGGCAACAGTAAGTGTTGCTAGGCGATTCCTGACAATTCTAATCGAAATTTTGATATTTTTAAACATAACTCTTTCAGAAAGTTTTCACATTTTAGCGGGATTTGTGTTGTTTACAGTAAATCAAAAAGTTCCTCTCGGGCAAAAAATTAAATTGATTCCTTCACATTTTCGTGTGATTATTTTTCATAACTTTTGATGTGGATTATCAAGACAAGAGTGCTTTAATGAACTTAATTCTTTATAGAGCAATAAAGCCCCATCCTACAGCACTGCAAAAGACTGGTATAACAAATTCAATTAGGGTCAATGTTTGCTCCAGGATGAATCCCAAAAGGTTGTGCAAAATCAGTTGTGCCAGAAAATATTGACACTGTGCATAAATTGATAAAGCAAGACCATCATGTGACATACTATGAGATTCAGGCATCTATGGACATTTGTATGGCAAGCATCAATAAAATATTATATGAACATTTGGCTGCAAAAAAGATTTCTTTGCATTGGATACTACTTAATAGGAAAAATGCTAAAAAGAATGCTCATGTTGATTGGTGCAAGGAAATGTTGGAAAAATATGTTCAAGGTGCATCAAAGGCTGTGTATAACATCTACACAGGTGACGAATCATAGATCTATGCATTTGAGCCTGAAACAAAACAGCAGTCGACTACATGGGTCTTTCAAGACAAGTCAAATCTAACAAAAGTTGCTCATGTTGCCTGTGTTCTTCAGCATGACCGGTCATATGACGACAGTAGCATTAGAGCAATGCAGGATAAATGGTACATGATTATTTGTTTGCCAGAAATCATTGGATAAATTCAACAAAAGCAGAAGAGGCCCATCATTCTTTATCATGCCCATGCAAGCTCTTGCACATCAGCTCAAACAAAGGAATTTTTTATGCGTCAAAACATCGAACTGATGGGTCATCTGCCATACAGATCTGATTTGGCACCCAATGACTTTTTTTATTTCTGCACATCAAAAATAAATTATGTGGTCAGGGATTTGAGAACACCCAAAGAAGCAGTTGATGCATTCAAAATGCATGTTTTGGCGTTATGTCAATCAGAGTAGAAAAAGTGCATCGAAAATTGGTTCAGACACATACAAAAGTGTATTGATCTTCATGGAGAATACTTTAAAAAACAATAAAACTAATTTCGATCATAAATATTTATTTTTTCATTATTTGGCCAGAAATAAATAGCAACCCTCATAGCAGTCCCATATACAAAATTTCAATGTTCTGAGGCTACTTGTTTTTGATTTATGCTAGATACATACATACTTACAGATGCCATGAATAAAATTTCTTCTGATTCCATTTTAAACCCATTTTGAAAAAAAGAGTCTTTATTCTTTCTGTACATAAAGATGTAATGCAAAAATATTATTCAAGTGGATTTGGCAGCAGTGAAAGTGGATATTTTCATTGAAAATTGGTACCTGAAATTCTTTGCAATTACAATACAGTCAAAAGTCGTTAATTCGGACACCCATAATCCGGAATGATCTACAATCCGGACCTCAAAGCTAAAAACTTTCTGCGCATGCGTCGTGCATATTCGCAGCCGTAAAGGTCGTAAAACCTTTATGGCTGCGAATATGCATGTGTGCATGCGCAAAATACATCTACGAATGCGCGTTTAATGTATAATGAACGGTATAAGCTAAGCTAAAATTATCTAATTCAGTTAATGTTGCTGATTGCGTTGTTCCTTAATCTTCGAATTGGATTCAGCTTATTATTTTTTGCAGACTGCTAGAGCAATTTTATAAAAGTAAGCTTGAACTTTCGATTATGTCAAATAGAATTTCTGATATATATTTACTAATACGTAAACGATCTACAAAGCGAAAGTATGTTTCGAAGTCCATTAAACAAAAAGTGGAATTGCTGCAAAAAATGGATAAAGGCATATCCTTTGTTTCTTTAACGTTTATCTAACTTTATCTAAACTTTGTTTATCTTTAACGCTGCGGCAGCGTGCATTGAATTGGAAGTTGATCTGTCAGCACTATCCTTATCTCAAGAGCAGATGTTTTTATTTTATTTGGCTTATAATTGCTTATTCAATATAGTATTTCATCTCGTCTTTGATATGATTTAAATCAAATGCCTCGTCATTATAATTCGCTTCCGATAGCGAAGAAAGTGAACAGAGGTTATTGAAAACGAAAAAATTTCGATTGACACATTAGTTGGTATTCTCGACACAGCAATTATAGGACTTGAACAGCGGAACTTTGTAAATGAACAAGAAATTATGTCTGTTTATAGAATTAAAGAGAATGTATTATAACATAAAAACGAAGCAACTTAAACAACTTACATTGAATGAAATGTTTAATAAAGTAAACAAATAAATATTAAGCTTTTTTTTTTTTTTTTTTTTTTTTTTTTTGTAAATTTTGATACCCTTTAGATTATAATTGTTCTTTATTTCATAAATTACGGTTTCATATTTTTAATTTTATAATTTCTGCATGCCATCTTACCAGATTTAAACTGATGATCTATAATCCGGAAAAATCGATAATTCGGAATCGCCGAAGTCCCGACGAGTCAGGATTAACGACTTTTGACTGTACTTCCTTTACTTAGTACAAGGAAGTAAAAAAATCAAGATAAATTTAATGAATACATACTGAAATAAGCATCTCGTGTAAATCCACACAAGAAAAAAATTCTTTTGGAGATATAATAATTATGAAATATGCAACTTATGTATTACCGTGTATTAGGAAAAGCACACTCTGAGCCATATTCTTGGACATACATGCCAAAAAAACACACATCAATATCATCAATTCTCTGAAAAGCAAATATAGCTTTTGCTCTGTAAGGAAACTGCACAGGCTGTTCTTCATTCTCAAAAAATCTAAGATAAAATACTTAATAAATAAATTATAATGAACAAAGCAGCTATAATACTAAAAAAAATATTAATTTAAATATAAATAATATGCTACACAAAACCATTACTATGTTAAACATGAAACACACACGCATCAATGTTAAACATAAAATGAAACATGCATCAACATTAAACATGAACATAATTCTTAAAAAAATCAAGATGTATATGTGCACTATGAAGATACACTTAGATACACTATGAAGAGATTAAAAACCTAAAAACATATGTCATTATGTTTCAGCAGTACAGTCAAATTAAAATGTATGCTTAGTAATGCATTCCAAAAACCTTTTTAGAATTTTCATAAGTATTTGGTCTCCTTATGTTGCTGTGAGGAACAAAATGCACTAAATTTACTGAAAATGACTAAAACATGAGGGGGGGTTTGGGGGGAAGGAAAAGCATACTTTTATTACCTCGATATGTATCCTATGATAACACTCAAATATCACAGCAAATATAAAGATGTCTTCAGAAAATATATAGTTGTACAAAATCCACTACTTTACTTTTGCATATATTTGCAGTAGTCCAAGGATAGCACTTTTTTTTTTTTTTTTTTAACAGATAATTTGGAATGACATAGTGTGATACCCAAATCATTATATTGTAACAACAGTTCTGTGAGTGGCAGCACAACAAAAGTTAATTGTAGGTTAGCATTTCATGCAAACAAAGTGAGCTACATTGGTGAGCTCCATCCAAGATAGCTACATTTGTAACATCAAGAGAAAAACAGTTAGTGTGAAGCATGTCCAAGTAATGTTTTTATATGACCAGAAAGTTCATTCATGGAATACACAAACTGGGTGACAAACAGCATGATAAGCATTCCCTGACTGTGACAATATAAGAAGTGTGATCAGTGCGTGCTGTATGATTGAAGAAATGAAGAGAGCCCCTTACATGGAAATTCATGCATCCTTAGACAAAAATAAAAGTCAAATTCAGACTATTTTGCATGATCACATGTCTTTTTGGAAACTTTACTAGATAGAGCTGCCCCTAAAACTGACGATGGCATAACAGCAGGCATACATTTCTTGATGAATGTAAAATAATTGAAAGATTTCATTAAAAGCAATCAATGCAATGTATGACATCATAAATAGTGAATAAAACTTTTATATAGAGTTATAAGCCCCAAAATAAATTGGAGTCACTCCAGCAGATGAATCCCATAAATATAAATCAAGATGGGACATAATGCTATAGGGTTAGATTTCTGCCAAGACAGCAGAAACTGGAAAAAACATATAATGATGTACTTACAGATCTGATAATGTGTAAATTTACTAATAACAGTTTAACTTGTTTGAAAATAAATATTTTATGATTTTTGCAATAAAATGGTAGAGTTTTGTATTTTCATTTACTGATGTGATATTTCATAGAAAATTTTTCTCTTAAACATGTGGCCCCAGTTTAAGATTTACGCAATTTACAAATTATGTGATGGATTACCTTAAAAGATAGACTTGCTTCTGTAAATATACAACACTTACTAATGCATTATGAAAAATATTTTAAGTAACGAAGTGACAGTATGGAGAAATAAGAGTATACATCTAATTTTCATAAAATAAAAAATTTTCTTTGTAATTATTTTTACTCTTAAGTTCTTACGAAAATAAAATTCTTACACATTTATACATCTATATTTATACACATAAAAATGAAAAAAAAAAAAAAAAACAGAGATAACTATGCAAATGAAAAAGTATCAATAACCTTGCTGACACTCAGTATCTATAATCCTGCTTAAAAACAAAAAATACTTACTTAGATTTCATTTCAGGTTTCACTTCAACAGATTTTTCAGAACTTGACAGGACACGTATAATAACTCTACTTGCACCACATTTCATTTTCTCTAAATGACTGTTCACATGGCTTTCAAGATACAACCCTAGCTCTGTTTTCTGCAGTTCTAAAAACATAGACCAAATCATTTTGAGTGCTGGGCGAATTTTTTTCTAGTGTTCTATAATTATTTTACTACATGAAAATTATTTCAAAATGAAATAAAAATTTTGCAATCTAGATAGCATCATTTCACTACAATTTTTAGATGCAAATATTAACTATTGCAGAAAAATAACCAAAAAAAAGTAAATAATTCATGTCAAAGATTTTTAATAGAAAAGCATAAAACAAAGAGAAAGAAAAAGGAGAAAATAGCAGGGGAAAAAAAAAAGAAAAAGGAAAATATAGCAGATCAGTTTTTTTATAGCAGATCAGATGCTAATTTTTCAATAAAATAAATTTTCAATGAGTTAAAATGTTTTGGGATCCCTTCAGATTTAGCTTATCAAAATTTGGCTAAGAACAGGAAATTTGATGTTTCTTTTCAAAACCATTAAATTCTGTTAATAGCAGAAATACATATGTCCATATACTAAGTGATGAACAGTGACAAAATGCAAATTTTAGAATACAGAATTTGGTTATTAGCATGTACAATAAATTGTAGAGTTTTGTTTCACATTATTCTAGTGAGTAGTATAATATAAAAAAGTTAGCTAGTTGATTTTACAAATAACAAAAATGTAGGTTAACTGGAAAGGATGGTGAAGCTTGAAATTGGTCAGAATTTTTTAATCAAACAGTTACTGAAGTAAATTTTAGAAACTGAATCTTAATCTCCTCCAATGGCTCAAGAGCCCAGGCTTGGACCTGGCCTTCTTCAAAAGTCTTCTCCAAGCATCTCTGCTTTTGGAAACTGCTTTCCAGTTTTTGATGTTTAAAATATTTAGGTCATTTTCAACACAATCAATCAATCCACCTCGTCGGGAGTCTACCCTGAGCTCTGGTTCTCATGTGTTTCGCTTCAACAGCCCAGGATGGGCTCTGGCCTTCTCCAGAAGTCTTCTCCAGGCATCTCTGCTTTTGGCAACTGTTTTCTGGTTTTTGACTTTTAAAATGTTTATTTTCAACACAATTGATTCATCTCACCGAAGGTCTACTCCGAGATCTGGTTCCCATGGGCTTCGCTTCTGCATAGATGATCCAGAAAATTCTTGCTTTGTTTTCGTAACAATAAGATTTTCACAGTGTGAGGTTGTTAATCTCAAGCCCAACTTCCAAACTGGAAGACCAGTCTCCTGATATAATCACCACAGGCAGAATACCTGGCTATACCTCCAGACACTGTGTGCCTATTTTAATTGCCTTTTACAACACATGCAGATATCCTGGGAGTATTCTTTTTTTCACATCCAGTCACCCAAACAGATGAGAATCTGAATCAGCTCTCAGAAAATATAACAGTGATTGGCTACATAAAACAACCCCAGCAGAACATTATATGCAGTGGCTAGGGTGGGGCAAAGGGGGACATCTGTCCCAGGCGCAGCATCCAGGGGGCGCCAAATTGATGGTACGAAATTTTAGAATGAGGTGTTTTCCATTCGTGGCACACAGAAAGGGGTCCAAATCTTCAGTTGTCCCCAAGCACTGAAAACCCTAGCTACGCCTCTGATTATATGCTTGTAATATTAAAAAAAAAGGTGTTGCCATTTAACTTCTGGCAGATAACCAAAGTCATTATCAAATGGTAGCAAACTATACAGTGCTGAGAAATGGAAATTGCAGCAGAAAACATTTTTCAAAGATGCATTCTTCAAGATTCAGTTTTAAAACTAGATTTTCAGCCAAACTTACCAAGAATCAAAAAGGCTGTTGTTGATGTCCTGTGTTGCACATGTCAACCTATCAAAAGGAAAGTTCTGCCTTAAGAAGATTGTAGAGTCATTAGAATTTTTGATGTCATGAAATTGGAGAAATCCACAATACCCTCGCCGGGATTTGAAATTCAGACCTCCCAAATATGTATCGAGTGTGCTTCCAGTCACACTACAGAGACATGCAGAAAGGAGAGAGAAAATACCTTACATAAGGGAGACTGGGAATGAGGGAACCCAACTACCAAATCCTGGCGGTAGTGAAACATCATTCACCACTTTTTTAATCGAGCATCATGTGTAGATTCGTGCAGAATTTTTTATCTCAGGGAATTGAAAAAAATCAGCTATGCTCACCCGCATTCGAACCCCAAACCTCCCGAATACACATCAAGTGTGCTTCCAATTATATCATGTTGGCATGTGGAAAAAAGGGAGAAAATACCTTACATACTCTTCATTTTAGAGGGTACTGGAAATTAGGGGACCCAATCACCAAATCATGGTAGTGATGGATTATTGTCTACCCCATTTGCAGTTCAGACGCCACCTATAGAGTCATTTAGAATTTTTCGGAAGTCAGGAAAGTGAAGAATTCCTTATTGAGCTCACTGGGATTTGAACTCTGAACCTCTCGAACATGCATTGAGCATGAGTCCAGTTAAACCACAAAGGCATGCAGAAAGGAGGGAGAAAATACCTTATAAGATCATTGAGCTTAGTTATGTAAATTAGATAAGAAGATTTTTTGTAAATTTCTAATTTATAAAACTTTAACTATATGTATTGGGTTTTAACAAAAGTTTCCTGCCACCACAAATATCATCTGTACAAACAGTTCATGTTGGCATGTTTAATCATATTTTGTCAAACGATGTTTGGCATTTGAAAGAAGGAGACTTTCTTTAGAACACTGTGTTGTGAAATTTGTAAAAATATATCTTTATCATTATGTACAAGATGTCTCAAATGGAACTATTACACTACTAGATTAGAACCATCATTTACTTCCAGTTCTGTTGCAAAAAGTCAGCTACAGAATGTCACCAAATCATGTGTACAGCTTTAGGTACTAATGTTGTATCATATGACACTGTGAAGGTTTAGTACCGAAAATTCAAAAACAAGGACCAATACATTCAAGAAGCAGAATGCTCTAGCCAACCTACTGATGTTGATGAGGGCCGCTTGCAATAACTTGTGGAAGAAGATCAATATGCAACCACTCAAGAGCTAGCTAAGGACTGGATGATTTAGGATTTTAGTGTTATGTCCATTAGTCACACTATGCATCACATAAACTTGACGTACATGTTCACTCGCTGGGTGCCACACGAGCTGACTCAAGCAGGTAAGGACAGACGTGTTCGGGCTTGCGCTAATCTGCTCGATTATCAATAATCTGCTCGAATATCAATGCAAAGACAAAATTTTGGACTGGATTATCACTTGTGATGAAAAGTGGATTTATTTCAACAATACAGACTGAAAAGGGGATTGATCTGCACCCAGTCAGCCCATCAGCAGCATTGCAAAGCAGCACTCAAACACGTCAAAGAGATTTGAAAGATAAATTTAAGGTCTTGCGTTTTGCCAATGCATAACATCTGGTTTGATGTTTGCTTTAGATCTTAACCCACTTTGAAAATCAGTCCTGCTCAAGGTTATGAGAATGGTAAATTAATGTGTTTCATGCAGTTTTTTATGAAGACAGGCATTCAGTCTTAAGACAAGGAATATTCAATACCAATTCAATTTTTACATTGTAAGAAATATTTATGACCTTCAGAAGAGGGAATTTTAGATAGGTTATTTCCAAAATAGAATTTACTGTATTTTTTCTGGAAATGATTTTATATGTTAACTGAAACTAATACATATCTCTCAGTGTACAAAAAGGAAAAACTGTATAAAGGATAAAAAGGAAAGACATTTACTTTCAGCTGTAAATTTATTTTCTCTCCTCCATTTTCCTTTAATCTCTAAACAGGTGTTACACAAAAATCTGAAAAATATATGACAGTCAGAACTTCAAAGCAAACATTTCAAAAGTATTATCTCTAATTTCAGTGGATATTGCACAAAAAAAAAAACTACCTTGTGTAATATAATCGGAAGAGAAATAAAATGATCAAATATTTTTTGTCCCATAATAAACATATTTTATATTTATTAAAACCACAAAAATATACGTACAAAATTATTTTACATACCCTTCTGGCCACATAATTTCCAGATATAAGACACATATCTCATGTTGTTTCCTGTTACAGTTTTTGCAGAGAATAAATCTATAAAAAATGTGAGATAAGTAAAATAATAAATTTTTTATTTCAATAGCAAATAAATGAAATAGTCTTAAATTTGAAAACAAACTCTGTTTCCTCTCCATTTAATCTGAAAACCAAGTCTATTCATACAGTTTTTTTACAAGGTCCGGCTATTAATTTCCAGGACAGACGTAACTGTAGGAAAATGAAAAGTCAGAAGATGGCGCTAATGATTGCATATTGAAGAGTGTATCTTTGTGCAGTGCAATCGGTGCCATTCTGAAGTAATTGGTTCTCGTGAAAAGGTGCATTAAAACATAGCTCTTAAATTCCTATTGTCAAAGTGAAAATGGAGCAAAGACTTAACTTAAATTTTGCTTCAAATTGGGCAAGACAGCTGCAGAAACCTACAAAATGTTAAAACAAGTTTACAACGAGGAAGCATTATCCCGCTCAAGAACTTTTGAATGGTTTAAACGCTTTCCGGATGGCCGCGAAAGCATCGAAGATGATCCACACACAGGTCGGCCACAGTTCGTACGCACGCCGGAAGCAATTGAAAAAGTTTGCAATATGGTGAAATGTGATCCTTGATTGACTATTCGAGTACTCGGCAATGAATTCAACTTCGACAAAGAGATGGTTCGGCGAATTCTGACGCAAGACCTAGGCAAACGCAAGATTTGTTCCAGATTCGTTCCTCACCATTTAAGGAAAGAACAAAAGCAATTGAGACTGAACGCATGTAGCGAACTTATCTACAACGCTGATGCTGACCCTGTGTTCCTGGATAGGATAGCCACGGGAGATGAGTCTTCGTGCTATCAATATGACCCTGAAACTAAGCGTCGAATCTCCGAATGGCGGTCTCCAAACTCACCAAGGTAGAAAAAAATTTCGATTTGAAAAATCCAAGATCAAGGTCATGTTAATCGCTTTGTTCGATTGTGATGAACTCATTCATCATGAATTTCTTCTTCCTAACATGACTATCAATGGACAGTTCTACACGGAAGTTCTTGACCGACTTCGAAAACGAATTCGTAGAGCGAGGCCTCATTTTCAACAAAACAGGAGTTGCTGCTGCTACATGACAATGCCCACCCACACATTGCATTCTTAGCCCAGCATGGTGTCGTTGAAATGCAGCATTCACCATACTCTCCAGACCTAGCCCCCGCAGACTTTCTCCTGTTTTCTAAGCTGAAAAATTCGCTGAAGGGAACAAGATTTCAGGATGTTGAAGCCATCAAGAAAACTGTAATGTCACTATTAAAGAGCATTCCAAAAGAGGACTTTAAAACTTCTTTCCAAAATTTGTGCAGCCGAGCACAGACGTGCATTACGGCTGATGGGGATTACTTTGAATCATATTAAATGGCTATGTGTTTAACCTTTCTTTCTATTGAGTTATTCCATGAGTCCTGGAAATTAATAACCAGACCTTGTAAATAAATGATACCAAAAAAAAAAAAAACTTTTCTAAGACATTTCAAAAAGTAACTATACCTAATATTTGCTTTAATTATTTACTTGTGGGGAATGAATGTTTATAATGAGGCTTACAACAGTTTGTAATCTTTCCATACTATGCTGATCCATCTTAACAGTAAATACAATAATTTAAATATATATAAGTAGGTTTTTCAGTATTCCCACAGAAAAAGAGTACAAGACCAAATGGAATCCTGCCAGAGTTTCTCATTAATCTTGGTAAAAGGTCTATGAAAGTCTTATTCAAGACTTATTAACCTCACTTGGACTACAGGTATTCCTAGTGTGTGGTGTAAAGAAGAAATAATACCTGTTCTCAAAACTGATAAAGACGAAGATGTTTTCACTAACTTTCATCAAATATCACTTACTAGTGTAACGTTTAAACTAACTGAATGCCTCATTGTAAATAGACGCAATCACTATCTTGAGAAATTCTGTTCTTTTTCTGATAGACAGGCCAGTTTTAGGAAATATAGAAATATTATTGAACAAATAGCAATACTCACACAAGAGATAAACCATCTTAAAAAGAGTACAGTAGCTGTTGTGAAATGAACTGAAGTAATAACTGGCACGAGGCGCTGCTGTTCGTGATGTCAGCCTGCGTGCTGAATGTTTTGCTTGTAGACAGAATGAAAGCTGATCTCGGAAGAGTAAGACCGTTTTGATGAAAATAAAGAATAGCTTATTAAGAATTTTTTGTCTTTATTCATAATGAACCCAGCCTCGGGTAGAGGCAGCCCACAACTGAATGAACTGTTTTGAATATATTTGATTTATATATTTTCTGTGTTCTTCGTAACATAGTGGTACCCTCGGCGGGACTGGGTGCTATGGATTAGTATTTTCCGATTGAACTTTTGATTTTGAACTTCGATTTTGACTATACTTTGAAGATGGATTTGATCGCTTTAAAGGCCCAAAGAAGAGGACTTAGAATTGCGTTTTTTCAAACCTCAAGGAAAACCGAAAGTGAATTAACTAAAGAAGTAAGAGATTTAAAAATACTTTCGATTTTCAAGTGTCAACTTTGTGATAAATTCCAGAGACTTGAAGTATGCCAGAGTGCTATCTCGCAGAAGATTTTGCAGACTGAAGATGGAGAAAAATTATTTAATGATAATTTTCAAGAAGCGGAGGATTACCGAGAATAAGTTTCTAGAACTAGTGTGCTCAAATAGATGCGGAAATACAAGCCCTCCTCTCCTTCCAAGTAACTCCGAAATCGAGGAAATTTAAATTGCCTAAAATTAAGCTCAAAAAGTTCAGTGATGAAGCTAAAGATTACCTGACTTTTTGGAGTCAGTTCCAGAAAATCCACGACGACAAAAATATCGCTGATTAAGATAAAATGCAATATCTGTTGCAGGCCATGGAACCCAAATCGAAGGCAGAACGCCTAGTTCTTAGCTTCCCGGCAACGGCAACTAATTATCCCAAAGCGATCGAACAACTAAGAGAGCGCTTTGGACGCGAAGATTTAGCTGTGCAAGTCTATGTGAGAGACTTGTTAAGCCTAATGATGAAAAACGCAGTAACCGCAAGAGCAAAAACTGATTTACCCTCCCTGTATGATGAACTAGAAGGAAAATTGCGAGCATTGGAAAATTTGGGGAGAACCCAAGAAAAATATAGGGATTTTTTAAACCCCTTAGTGGAAAGTTGCTTACCAGAAGAAGTACTGATGGCGTGGGAAAGAAGCCGAAATCACGACTCCATTGAAACTAAAGGGACTCGATCCTTGCAACAGTTAATGAATTTCTTAAAACAGGAAGTTAAGGGCGAAGAGATCGTTCAACTCGCAAGAACTGGTTTCGCTTCCCAACAGAACCATCGAAAGAATAACCACAAACAGGTAAAGCAAAATGAACCGTAACAGCGCCAGCTCTAGTAAGTTTAGAGAATTCAGGTAAAAGTATTCCGAACTGTAATTTTTGTGAAAAAAAAACATTCTAGTGAAATATGTTACTCCGCAAAAAAAATGACTTTAGCTGAAAAACAACAATTGTTATTGAAAAAAGGTGCTTGTTTCTCTTGTCTGAAAAGAGCGAATCACATTAGTAAATTTTGTCCTTTGAAAGGTAAGTTAAGTTGTTCTATTTGTGAAAGTTGTAATCATTTTGATGTAATGTGTAATCAAAAGCTAAAAGATAATGATCAGATTCGAGTTCTAATTCGGTGTCAAGGTCGCGAGAAAAGTATTCGCTGCATAATTGATAGCAGAAGACAAGTGTTAGTGAAAAGTTGTTAGTGAAAGTATGATGAGTCAGCTTAAAGCATCTCCACTTAGGGAGAAGACAGTTGTTATACATGCACTGCTTGGGGGGGGACGAAACGAAACCTAAACAACATGAAGTGTTTTCGGTCAAGGTCAGCAATTTAAAAGGAACGTTCGCATGTAGTTTTGAGGTGCTTTCTGAAAAGAGGATCTGCGGTTTTATTCCTAAAGTTAAGGATAAAGAAATTTTGAATGAATTAAAAGAAAAGAAATCGAATTTTCTGATCCATTGCGAAAGGAAACCGAAATTAACCTTTTAATCAGAGCGGATGTTATAGGAAAATTATTGACGGGAAATTCTATTGAATTACAGTCGGGGGTAACGGCTGTTGAAACGAAACTTGGGTGAACGGTATTTGGAAAAAGAAATTCGGATGAAAAAGGATAATAGTTTTGAAAACATTTTCCAATGCATGTCAGGAGAGTTCTTCCTCTGAATGAGTAATGGGAACTTGAAAAAATAGGAATATGCGCTCCAATCGAAAACTGTTAAAATGAATGAAGTTTTAATTTATCTGAATTTGAGAATAAAATGAAAATTCTTCCAGATGGAAGATATGAAGTAGAACTTCCATGGAAATGTGATATGACACATTTAACCAATAATAAAGAATCATCCTGGAAAAGGTATCAAAAGATGATCTATAAACTCAGATGTAGTAAATTTTTCGATGATTATCAAAATGTGTTCAAGGAATGGGAAAGGTTGAATCTTATTGAAAGTGTACCAGAAAACAAACTGAATAATGAATGTCATTATTTGCCGCATAAGCCTGTAATAAAATTAGGAAGTGAAACCACAAAAATTCGTCCTGGTTTTGATGCTTCTGCATCTGAGAAAGGGAAACTCTCTTTGAACGAATGTTTGTGCAAAGGAATGAATCTTTATTGAATTAATACCCGATACTATAGATCGTTTTAGGATGTATCCAGATAGGTATTAGTGCCGATATTGAAAAAGGCTTTCTTAATGTTATCCATCGCATCCTAAAGATAAGAGATTTTCTCAGATTTTTTTTTTTCCATGCAATGAAGGACAATTAATTTATAGGCATTGCAGAGTTGTGTTTGGAGTTTCTTCGAGCCCCTACTTGTTGAACGCATCTATAATGCATCTATTAGAAAACTGTCCATGTCAGTATAGTGAAGTTGCTCAAAAATTGAAATCGTCATTTTATGTGGATAATTGTTTATCTAGTGTTTTTTAGTATTGATGAACAGTTTACGTTTTATTGATCATTCCAAA